TTTAAATATCAATATATTTTCATAAAAATTTTCAGGAAAATTTTTATGTATCAAAAGCTTGAAATTTGGGGCGTTCTTGGTAATAGATTACTATAGGCTTATTCAGCATATGTGGGGGAGTACTTTCTATATCATATTCATAATAGATTGCATCAGCGAACTCTTTTTCACAAATTTGATAAGATTTATCAGCGATAGGATATCAGCTATAAGCCGTATTCAATGATGCGTCTACGCACACAAATTTGTTTTTTATTTCATTGCGCTTTTTTCGACGAAATCAGGCTGTAAGTTTTGAATATCAAATTTTCTCGTAAAATATGAGCGCAGCATTGTATCGCAATATGCTATCGATTTTTGTTATCGATACAATTATGAGTATGAGATATAATTTTTTCAAGTTTTCTAATTAAATGTCTTCTCTGCTATCTCTCTTAAAAATCATTATTTATACATATAATTTAATGTAAATTGTAATTATTATAAAAAAGAAAGGAGATATAGTAATTAATTCTTATATATTATTAATATTAATATATTTCTTAGTTAATGTAATAAATAAGATATATATTATATTTAAATCATAATTTCCAAGATAATATATAAAGTATGTATAAATAATAATTATTATTACAATTTTGTTAATATCTATTCAATTCATAAATTTTATGTGTAATTAAGTTTAGGTAATACACAAATTACACATGTAAATATAATTATAGGTCGGTTCAATTAATCCGAATCGATCCGATTCCAAATCTATACTACTCCAGATAGAGAATGTCGTGCATTGCTAATGAGAATTAGTCCAGTAATCCAGTAATTAAAATTGAAAACGAGCCATTACATCTTCTATTATATTTATTAATATTGTAAATATGAATAATGAATTTTCATATCTGATAGATTCTACGAATTTGTAACGAGACTAAAGGCAATGTTAATTTAATCGCTACTTATACATTCAGATTATTAAATCTCGCCAAAGAATTGAGAGATTTAATCATTTGACGGAATCGGAAACAGGAATTGGAAACTTTGTTTTTCGAGGAATAAAGAGATTTCGCGAGCAAGATTTTTTCTTCTTTCGAAGACAATTTTTTATCGTTTCGGATTATCTTATCCAAGATAGAAGATAGATGTCTGTCGTTCATCTACGCGTAAAAATTCTTCAACGGATCTCGAAATTGAACCTTATTATATCCGCGATTATAAAACGGCCTATCCACATGACTTGCACGTAGTTAATTATACGGGTGCGGTTCATTGCTCGCGAACAAGATCTTCACGCATCGTTCAATTACGCTATCGTAATCTATAGGAGATAGGATTAATTGCAGCGTGATGAAAGTGCGAAAATTCAATATTTGAAGAATATCGCTAATCGTCGATGTAATTATACTTAATTTACTTTTTACATAGCGAGATTGACATACGCATTGCTATTCGTGACCGAAAGAAATTAATTTTTTATCGTACATTTTACAGAATAAAGTTAGGCTATTTAAAATATTCTTTAAAACATATTTAAAATGTATTTAAATTAAAAAAAAATATTTATTATTATAAATATTAAATATCATGTTATGCATAATACTTTAAAATTCTTTAACTCCCATATTCTTCTAACGTTTAGAGAAATTTTACGCAAAATTTTCGTTACTAACATATCTGTTGATTATAATTTCAACAAAGAATCCGCGGTTGAAAGGCCATGAGATGGAGTTCACGGGAGACTTTGCAAGTGCGTAAATGCATGCATGGTCGAGTATGTATAAAGAGAATGAATTAAAGTCAGTAATATATGCGGTCCTGGAATTTCCGCAATGCGGCGCTCACGTTGTTTAGGCTTGCGTGTACATCACCGCGCGTGATACATACACACGTGTTATAGTCGCCACACGCCACGCACGTAACACCTATCTACGCGCGGCGAAACGTGCGTGTTTTGAAAGGTACGCGAATCCAAAGCATATCTATTTCCGTGACTAGAGTAACCTACCGAGGCGATTCAGTGACGATTTATCCGCCATTTATCCGGCAAATCTTGCGAATAACATGTTCATAAATAATGCTAAAATTCGCAAAAATCTTTGGTAAGATTTGTTTCTTTAATTAGACAATGTGCAGAAATGAACAACAGGTGAAGTGGATAAATTTTTCCTGAAATCCACTTATAAAATGATTATTATATCGAGTTTTTAATGATACAACGAGATAAAAATAAGCTTCATTACTTGGTGTATACTTATGCAACAAGCGGGCTTAAACACAGTCCGATTTAATGACAGATCTGTGACGCCTACCGGATAAGATCGCCGATGTAATACCAAGCATAACGAGCGTGAGCTTTAAGGGGTCATTGACGGTGGGACAAAGGCCGTAATCGCGTGAAATTTTGGCACGGTATCCGGTCGAGTGTTACGAGCCACATAGACGCTTGCCAGGATTCTACAAGTGGTTGACCCTGGCCGCGAGGCGACGCGACGCGACGCGACACGCCGGCGTCGATACGTGCGCGCGAGCGCAATGTCAGAAGTATATTGACCATTCTATGAACGCTCATCAAACACATTCTCCGTGAGATATTTCATATTTTATTTATATCCTCGTATATATTTTCGACGCGCATAAATGCTTTATTATTATCGCGATTAGACGGTTGGACAATTGAATTGATCGATGCTCGTACGCGATGGTCCGACCTTGTTGGATCGATCACTCTCGAGGAACATGAAACGGAACATTCCCCTTCCCGGAAACGTGTGGTTGATCGGTTTAGATCGGAATCCCAATAGGTTTCGGATGGACCACGGCATTCCACTGGGCTGCTATCACGTCACTTCGGATGTGCGTCCGGAGTGCTCGGCGATGAATTTCGTGTCATGGACGCGATGGGTGTAGCCGCAGAATGGATCAACCGGCTGCGCGCGCTTTTGTACTTATGGAGCGAACGAAAAAAAGTGAAAAAAGAAAAAAATTTATACGTTCCCGTCTATACGTATGCTTGGATGTGTCCGTCTGGCGGATTCGTCACGTTCGTAAATCGTAGTGAATTTTTGACGGCGTCGATGATGTACGACCTCGAAGAACATACACGAGATTTGTCGGGCCTATTTCTGTAGCGAAGTAGTATAAATCGTAATTCCGTTCACGTATTCGATATCGTCCGTATATTGTTCCCAGTACGTTTTTCAGCTCGTTTTTTTTCTACGGATTTGCAACCTTCGCTTTCTAACTTGCGATATGTAAAACGAACGATGCGTCGATCCATCATGTGGATAACGATGCAAAATACACAATACATACGATGTTCTAAATATGTCTATTTTGAAACTTTTACTCTAGAGTTTTATTTTCGAAACAGCTTCTGCATCGTATTGACTTTAATGATTAATTCGGAATGCGCTTTTCCCTTGGCATTTGTCATCGTGCATTAAATTAACTGCGATATAGCAAGTTTATTATAAAAAATTAAATTTCTCATATAAAAATTCGTTTCGAGAGAATGTCCAATGTAAATCAGAAGTTAAGTCTTTCAATATGATTAAATTATGATCTCCGGAACTCGTGGTAAACTTATGCAAGAATGAAGAGGCTATTATCGTAAATAATTTCCTTTAATTAGCTCCGAGTGTGAATTGAAAATGCACGATGCACTTCAGGCGAGATGAACAGTGAACGCAATTTTCGAGTCGATGATAAATGATCACTCGCGAATTGACGCCGACTCACGAGTCTGTTCGACGTGCACGTTGCTATTGTTGCAAAAAAGTTTAACATGGAAAGAATAAGCACTAGTAATGACATCATCTTCAGAGACACACGTGCATCGCCCACCTGTGCTTTACCGATGATGTGTTTACGACGCGAACGAGATTCACGCGCTCGCACTCTGCGTCTCAGTCTTGCGCTGAGGCGAATTTACACATCATTCCAGATAAGATATCCGACATTTGCGTGTAACCGCGAATAGCGAGAAAAAACGAAGTGCGAGTGACACATTTCCCGACCGATAACTCGTGACACATTTTACGACGCAAAATTCACAAAATGTTAATAAATTAAAAGAAAACTTGTACGTCATCATATTAATATCAAAAATAAAGAATGTCAAATATTCCACATTCAACGACAATTAAAATAAATATGTTTTCTCTAACTGATTAAGTAAACCTGATCGAAAAAATCGGATTGAAGCCCATTTTGAAAGTGAGCTCTTTCATTTAGGACAATCATCAAGAATAAATTGTGTAAATTCGCACATAATCCGAGCAATTGCGTATTTATTATCGCTTATTTATCACTGGCACTGGTATTTGTATCTGGATGGATGCGAAACGCATACATTGTGTACATAGTGTTTACAGTATGCACCTTGTTGGTGCAATATTTGCACGGTATGGCTATACATAAGCTGTAGCACGTTAATAAAATAAGAAAACAGCATCCGCGTTAGTCTCGAAATATGTTTGTTGACACAATAGAGATGCTAAAGATAAATAATTTTTCACAAATCAATCTTCTCTCTTACTCGATTATTATATTATGCCAGATTCTGTATATACAACATTATGCTCGTATATCACGATATGTTTATTATTTCACTTATCTTTATGCAATAACAATATCTGATATTTTATTTTCCTTATGTTCAACAATAATAAATTATAATGCATACTGTATAACATATATAAAAGTTTTATATTTATATTTAATGTATTATATGATTGAGTGCAGCGAGCTTCGAGGTACGGCAAACAAAAACTATATAGCGTATATATAAATAATTTTATTTTCATGTTAAATTAACTTATACATATTTTAACAGATTTAATACATTTATGTTTATTTATATGATACACTATATTTCCTGTTTTTTGAATGAAAAGCGAGAGATTTTATCTAATATAATTGAGAGCATTAACGTGGAAAATTTATTAAATTATTTGCATTTTTAATCGCGTAATGTTTTATTCTTTGCTTGATTTTGATTTCAGTGTTACAATGGAAATAATTGGTCGATAATGCGACGTAGACGCGGCGCATGTAATTGGATATTAAATTGGTAACGTCACTGTCTTTCTGCGGAGCGATTCTCTTTCGCCCTCGAGGGACCGAAAGTTGGATACGGTTTCCCGGACAACATAATGCAATTTTGTCCGCAGCTTTCTCACAAATACACATCGCAAATACATCCGGGATACTGCGCATCGCGACGCGACAACAGCGGTTTTGTACTCGCACGGTGAGTTCGATGCAAATAGACTGGTGAGTAAATTGAATCATTACATTTAGACAAAAGGTCTATAGATGCCTGTACATAATTAATTTTAGCGGATATTGTTACGTAATAACAATCATCTTTTTTAAACGAAACAATCATTCTATCAATCATCCGCATTCTTCTAATCTCAGAGATACTCCAACGTAATGGGTATAAATGGAGTAAGATTTATAAATTGTTGCTGCGATGGGGATTTTTATATAAATGATTTTGTCGGGTTATCGCGTTTATCTGTATCATAAATAATAGTTTTCGCGCGGACAGATTCGATAAACATCATTAACGTTTATACGAAACAACGTTCTCAACAAAAGAAGGTTCTATGTTCCACGTGGCCTGAGAGAAGCTTTTCTCGTAGCTTTCTCGTGGAAGGCTCTTTGAAAAATCGTCTTGCTATTTTCTCCCTTTGACCTCGCCGCGAGTTCCCATGTCTTTCATTCTCACAAGTTTGCTTTCCGTTTCGCAGTTGCTTTTCTTTAATTGTGTTTCTCATTTCACAATAACATATAGGTTTCTGAAAGAGCTCCATATTGATGTGTACTGCTCTTTTATTTTGTTAAAACTACGATATCTCATATATTTTCTACCGAAATCTTTTGAACAGACCAAATTTGTTTCGCACATTTTCTGCTTTAAAATATTTCTAAAACTGATATAAAGAGATAAATAAAGCTGATATATGTATTTGTTTTTTGCTTGATATAAAGAGGGAAAAATAAAAAGTGATCTAAAAAAGTGACTATCTAACTTAGATTGAAAATAGTTGAATGTTAGTGTGTATTAGATCATAGTGTACACTTAACGATAATGTTAAGAAGTATGAATTCCCAAGGGTAAAAATTTGCGCATCTAGAGAGAGAGTCAGTCTATTTGCTATTTTCTTTCCCTTCGCAGTTCGTTTACGCGCAGCCATCAATCGTCAGGCAATGTACCCAATAAGTAAGGTCTCGAATACGATTTGCTTTTACAAGCTTCTTCGATTACCCGCGAAGATTAAATGCCATAGTTCGCGAGAGTAATCACAGTGGAGTGCAAGAATACTGCGCCTCGCTGAGTTTCATCCTTGGAAACTTACCATTTTTAGAAACTTTAGCCGTGAGCGATGCAAGTTTTTCTTAGATGAAAAACATGAAATTTCAATGTTTTAATTCTTTACTTCACTTTATATCAATTCATATAATAGATATTTAGTACAGTAATATAAATTGTTATTGAAACCTTTTTTTTCCTCTTTACGATAATTAATTGTGTCATCCGAACAGAAATATCAAAATTTTAGCTCGCGAAATTTTAGATAGATAGGATTTAAGGACATCGTTACACCTTTCGTGGCAAAATGAAGGAAATCTCGGGTGCGACCTTTATGGAATTAATTAATCAAAGCTTCGCGTTAAATGTCGCTGTCCTTTACAGGACGACGACAGTTTGTTCGGTCGGTGCTCCGCAAAGTTAATTGGCTTCTATCGTGACGTAAGTAGTCATTTCCGTTATCATTAAATCGCAAATTTATCATGGTCACTGTATCATGTTATCCACCTCGCAAGTGGACCGCTGTTTTATTGTCGCGCCAGAAACCTCCACCATGTCAGTCCGAGATTTTGATGAAACCCCTATGAGAGAGTAATTCGATTTTAGATGGTCACGAAATTAGGGGAACTTTTTGAACACCTTCTTAAATAGACAGGAATATATAGTTACTACATTTTTAGACATCTCTTTAAATATATAAAATTGTGTGGCTACCGCACCGCAATATATTTAATTCTCAACTCGTAAAATATAATTAGTTTTAGTTTAATAATAAATTAATCATAAAATTTATACTTTCTGAATATATATTTACGAAAGAATCTAAAAATAAAGATTAAATATTTATATATATTTAAGAAAAATAAATATTAATATTATACAAATTAAATATTCTCTTGAATATTAAAATCATAATAAAAAGTATATTTTTTAGCCATTCAATAATAATAAGACAAGTCTTTGTACGTTGACTTAAATTACTTAATTAGGAGATTGGTGTATTTGCAATTAAAATTATTTTCTTATGTTTTAAAAAAGAAATAAATAATTTTAAGCTATATAAAATAATTTTTAGATATATTATATATACATGTTTGAATGCCTAAACATATGTTAAACATATAAAAAGTCACATAAAAATCTTTGGAACGTTTTCTTAAAATGATATTTTTAAATACTTTTATATATTTTTCTCGAAAACTGCTAATTTAATTATTGTTTTAATTTGTTCAAAAATATATTATGGTTCTGTTCAATTAAAAAAAATTGTAATTTAATAAAAACTTAGACATAATTAAAGCTGCTAAAAAATTGATTTTATTGAAATTATAATTAAAATTTAGAAGTATCTTATTCAGAAAAAAGCTGAATGGATTCATAAATTATAATTTATCTTAATGAATTTTTATAATTTAATCTTTGCGTATATGAGGCAAACATGCTCAAAAATTATTATTAATTCTTTCATATATTTCGCTCGTAAAATATAATGACAAATTCAATAATTTCATCTCAATAGTGCTGTTCTCGACATTACGATTGGCGAGTTTCTACTGTTACATTGACGCTGCGTAATGTATACACATCAACGATGGCGAGGCGGTTAGTTAAGTTTGCCAAGCATTAATCATGCACTCGGTTAGAAAGCTCCTTTGCGTAGATTTAACCTCCGAGCTTTCTCTCATGCTTCTCCGAGTTTTCGCTCTCGCTGATCTTTCGCAAGAAACGAGCAACGGAAAGAAAATGACGAACTGGATGAAATGAATTGCTCTCCATTTATCCATTGTTGGGTATCTTATGGCGCGCTAACAGATTCTTTCTTTAAGTTGAAACTCGCTGAAAAAAAGAATTTACGCGGAAGCGAACTTTAAATTACAACAACGTGAACCCAGGGCATATAAAAGCAAGTTTTTCCTTCCTGCGTTTCTGGCCGCTTTCGAGTATACACTCACTCGAGGCACTTGGCTGAACACTCGGTTGGATACTTGAGGTTCTAAAGAGAGCGAATGGTTTAAACTTCGGCTACTCGTATACAAGTAGTCTACCGCTCCACCAACGGTAGTCTACCACACCAACGGTTGTAATCGAGTGTATTAAGTTCGTCGTATTTCAACTATAAGGTGGATCGAAAAAGTCGCAAACGATTCGATTAAACGAGAATCTTTTATGACAAGTTCACGGAATCAATCATCATTACTTCATAAGTATTCATAAGTATTCGAGTTTTATTTTTCGGTCAATAGAAATAATATACAAATAATATATAATTTGAATAATTATGCTAATGAAATAATATAGAGTATATTGTTTATGACATTATTTATAATTTAAATTTGTATTTTTCGAATATTGCTTAAACCTTTTTTATAAACCATTATCTTTTTCTAATAAGATATAAACGAGATATCTCTAGAAAAAAATTAATTTGATTAAAACATAAAATAGCGCATCTTCAAGATTACTATAGAGAAATTCTTTTTATAATTTTGTCGTTTATTTTCGACGAAGCTCTTGCAAATACGATTCGTTTCACAGAAAAAAAAACGCAATAATTATTTGCGTATTCGCGCAATGTCTTATATCCTTTTTCCTCAGGTCGATAACCGCACTATCGATTTAAATTGAGCCGTCGAACGATCGAGTTAATGGAGAACGGAGATTGGGCCAAAATGGGCATATCGGTACGACACGGAAGAAGCGTAATTGAACGCAACCAAAGTGGCTTACTTGCAAGACGATCTATAAATACATGAGCGGCCACTGGTTCTCTGCTTCTCTCTTTCTCTCATGTTTAAGCTTTGCTTTATTAATTCAAGTTTCTTCATGCTTTTGCGCCTCGCGTTTCGTGCCGCTTCACCGTGACCAACTATCGCAATTCCAGAGATCCGTAGTCAATTGTAAGTGAACTTTGTGTCATGCGAATCGAATCATTTAATTCAAAAAAATGTAGAAATATTAATTTAATATAAATGTCTGGAAGATTTAAATCATCGTGTTTGAAAAAAATCTAAGTTGGATAAATAAGATTTGTGTTTTCTATTATAATTAAATCCTACTTATTATTTGTAAAAATACCGAATGACCAAAAGAAAACGCAATGAATATATATTTATAAAATTAGAAATTTATTTGTAATACGTATAGTAAATTGATAATTTTGATTGCAATCCATGTGTTCTTTAAATAACAACATTTCTTCGAATAATTATTTAATAATAAGAAAACATTTTGTCGATGATTTTCTACGAGTTAGCATAATTTTAACACGTTTTCCATGTGTTCTATCATCGAGATAGAATGTTGGCTCATAAATGAAATAACATACTGTCAGTGCACTAAATTTCCCCGAATGTACCCATGTTATCCGAATGACAGAGACGAATAAGCGTCTGGCAAAATTATGTGAAAAGCATCTACAGCGATTCTAGCAAAAATTGTCTGAGAAGGTAAAGAGCAAAGACATTACCGCTGAACGAATTTTTTCTCGTCTCTCCATCTTCATGTCTTGAGAGATTTTCAAACTTTTTTTGGTAAATCTTCTTCAAGCATTAAACGGTAAACTTGATTAGAAAATCGCTTCAAATTACTGTTAATGATATTTTTGTGATTGTTCGATTTAAAATTAAATACGTTAAAAATAACAAACATAATCTTTTAAAAATAAAAAAAAATTTGTTTGAAGCTTGTATGGCTACCACGATATTTCAAGATGTCTCTTAGGTGCAGAAACCGATATAGGTGTGCGGCCGATATATGGTCGCCTAAGCGATAACCTAGATTCGTCGACGCATAAAATAGAATGCGATCGAAAGTTGAAAGAGGAGAAGATACATACAGGAGAGAAGCAAAGAAGAGGCGGGAGAGGAGGAGGAGATCTCACCTTCCGTGGAACGCATCGACACCTATTACACGTACGTAGATATCGACGAGGTGTCGCGTTTCGTCGAGATAGCACTTTTACGTCGTCGTCGGCACCTTATCACGTATCTTTCTCAACAAAAGAGATGCTTCCCGAATAAACCATAACGTATAACAGTCAAGCTTTTAGTCTGCTCTTATAAAACAAAAGGTAGCCACGCCAAAGCATTGGATCTGTCAAATCGCAAAAGTCAATGATCTCGAAAATTGATGATTATCGTCAAGATATATCTGGCCTTTTTGTTCTGAGAATTCGAAGAAGAAGCTCTGTCGGGTTCTCAGAGACGGATTTACGGAAAATACTTATCGTGAGAGATTCTCGTAAAAGAGTGAAAGTATGTGGATCTTGAAGAGGATCTCTTCGTAGAAACCATACAATCGGTCTAACAATAAGTGTATATACACCATCATTGATGGTAAAAATATCTATTAATATCTCAATCAATTTATACAAGCAGTATGTTTGCTAAGCTCGATAATTTTGAAACACAAGCGGAGATAAATTGGATTTACGACGATATTACAAAGTATATTTCTAAGCGGAATGAAAACAAAGTTTGCGTCGCATTCTGCTCAAGATCAATATGTGCAACTTAACGCGCTTTCGAAATCGTCGATTCAATTCTAATTAAATATCTCGTCATCTCCGATCGCGATAAGCTCGCTTGTTGAAACAATTTCAGCCGTGAGGTCGACAGCGGATTAGCGACTCATCGAGAGCGCAATTACGGAGCGAGCGGTCTCCTTTCTCGGGGGATTCTCTCGAGTTTGCGGTGCGAGCGGGCGAGAAACACACGGCGAAATCTTATTACGCCGTTCCGTAATCGGGAGGCTAGGAGCGTAACCTCGAGGAGAAAAGACGAGGAATTGCGCCGCCGACGACCGCGGTCATATGATTCATCCGACTTTCATGAGAAAATGCAATTTTTACCTGCGGCGCTACTTCTTATAGCGCTACGTTAGTCTTGGCCACCTTTCTTGTCCCGGTAGACGAGACTGAGACAAAGGCAACCGGCTCGCTCCCGGGCATATTAGCAAATTAAATTGCGTATTGAAATTAGTTTCACAGGTATTTAACATATTCGTGGGAAGTAAATATGTAATGCGCGAGCATCATACTTCAAAATGGAAAATTCGTTCTTGGATTAATTTCACGTGAACTTTAAAAGACAGTGATGATTTTCGTTAGGAAAAAAATCGACTGCGAATTTATCAAAAATATCTGCATTTCGATGAAAAACGCGCGATATCCTGCGCGCGTAAAACATTTCTCTCGGAATTCATCCTCGGAAAAATTTATGACTATAAATCGTAAATCAAGATTCTTTCGACGCGACAATTCCGAAACGCTTTTATTGCTTTTACAAAGGTGTTCAAAGTGAATAATACGATGGAGATATTACGAGATATAAATTCTGGCAAGGGACGCGATAAACTCGATATTAACAAATCGAGAAGATGTATATTTAATAATCGCGTTGAGATGCGTTTTAAAATTTTATTATCTCGTCAAATTTTTTTCATTTAAAATAATGATATTACATTCTTAATTTAACAATTTTATAATACGTGTATGCATTATGTAAAACTATTCTTAGATCGCGGAATACGATATGCTGCAAAATTTACTCCTTACAATCTTCCGTTTCTTCCTTTGCGCGGCTATATATTAACAAGCTATCCGACTCGAGTTAAAGACTTCTTTACGAGAGGATCGTTACGGCCGCGAGAATATCTGACGGTAAAAAGGCAGGTCTGGCTGTGTACTTTCGTGGGAAAAGCGCAACCGTCTCCTTGCAACCGCGTCATCCATATCGAGATCGGTACAGCACGATTACACGAAGACAAAGCGAGCTTTGTCTTTGAATCAAAAGCGTCTTGTCGGCGTTCTCGTTTTAATAAATACGCGTCTTCCCTCTTTCTATTAGCATTTTTCAGGAAACGTTCATCGATGTGCTCGCTCTGAGAAAGTTTTGATTAATCACCGTGACGCTCGCGGGCATTTTGAATTAATCGGTATTATTGCGTCATTAATTATTATTTTCGTGTGCATTTCGATCACGCGATACTACGATAGAATTTCTGTTCGTAATTCGTTAATTAATTTAAAAGAAACATTTTAATTTTATACGCTTTTACTTTTATTATACAATTTCAGTTTTATACAATTTTATATGCGGATTGAAAAATATCCGAGTTAAGTTCCGTCCTCTCTCTCTCTCTCTTTTTTTATCAGCTGTAAAGATATTTACATGCACTGCGATATAAATATCAACTTTTTAAAGTAGAATATCGAAAGTTGTCTCACCCCGCTATGTTTTTCGCGGGATGATAAAAAAAATTAACATAACAAGATAGTTTTTCGACGCGATTTCCGTAAAGTATTTCTGTTCGAGACTGGAGTACATAAATGAGCCTGTTATTTTAACAATCGAAACTTCCAGTTCCACGAGGAAAATCAACAAAGCGTTCGTCAAAGTACGAATCGCGTATTTTCAGAGCACTCGACGGTAGAGATAAGCGGGCGGGATAATGCAGTCGGCGCACGAGCGTTTTATCTGTCGAAAGTGTGCGATGGAAATCTGCGCTTTGTGTAACGCTTGGCGATCATGGTTACAGAACCAGCGTTCTGCGCTCTCGCACAAACAGAACTTCATAGTCTTCGTAAGGCTGACTTTCTCCTCCGTTGTACATTACGCAACCACTTACTCGGCATCTTTGGGTCCCGTGCGCAGAGAGAACACAAGCAGGAAAGCAGCATTGAGATTGATGGCCAGTTTCATCGTCCTCACAAAAACGACACATGAGATATATCGTTTAATTTATTTTTTATTTTCTTTAAATCGTGAGTTTAAAATGAAAATTTCATATTAAATTATTTCTTTCTATTTATTAAAACTGAGATAAAAAATAAACATGTGGTATTGAATCCATAATTCTCACGAATTTTCGGAGTAGCTCCGAAAATTCTCACTCGCTAGTGGATTTAAAAATTTATATGTCCTTTGTATCTTTATACATTTATATTTTTAATGAAAAAATTGATGTCAATTTTTTGTAAGTACCCATTATTTCTCGTGGTTAATCATTTTATCATTAATTACAAATTGCATACCCTTCTTCATGCTCGAAAAAAATCGTAACAGATAGCAACGATTTGTGAAGCTGTCTTAGCTATTATATGATGAAATATCTTCTTTTCTTAAAGTAGGATTTTTCTTCGTACATTTTTAGCTCTTTAGCCATACGTTGATTGGTGTGCTTCTATTCGCGACTTCGTAACTCCGGTTTGTCGACAGCGCGAGCGCGATTTAATTAATTCAGGGAAATTACGACGGGCAGTCGTTCACTTGGTTAAACGTGACTTTCCAACGTGTCGTATGCAGAAGCGAATCCACCGTACTTCCGCTTCTCGCACGGGGCAAGCTCAAGCTTGTAAACACACCGCAGACCGAAATAGGGTTCTCATATTAATAGCTCGGCCGAAGTGCATCTGGTTACACGACGAGATACCCGCAAAGATGAGGGGTCAGGCAGAGAAGTATATCGGAGATAGATGGCTGGATACGTGGGTAAGAAAACGATACGGAGGAATGTAATATTTACTAAAAGTTTCGAATGAATCAGCTTCCAAAAATTTTTCTTCCCTTTTGAAAGAGAGATCGGAACTTTTTATATTAAATTATTTACTTCGAAAACCGATCTTTTATAATATTTCGTGATCTTTTAACGATTTTCTTATATATTTGGACGCTTATAAAGGAATCTAATTTTTATGAGTTGATGTTAAGATTTAATTAATTATATGTACAATAATAACATATTATATATAAATATATATGTGATGCATGTTGCAACAATTTATGTAATTTAAACTTAAGTAAATTAGAGAGAAATAAATTTATAAATTTGAGTATTTATATTTATATTTATATTACATATAAACTTTTTTTTAGAAATTTTCGCTAGAAAGAAATTAACTTGAAACTGATTAAGAAATCTGATGTTCTAAAGGTTT